ACTCAAAACTGAACATTATATTGTAAAAACCATGTTAGCTTTAAAGATGATTTTTCTATGTTACTTTTACATATTAAGGACAGTATAGCACTGCATGCTTGGTGCTCCCAAAATGATCTTGTGCCTACAATTGGAAACGGGCTAATACAAAATTAGATTGTCCTTCCATCTGATGTGTTGTTTCATTCTATATGAAAGGCTTTGAGAACCAATCAAGCTAAACGAGTTGTTTCAATCTTTTTCATAGAAGCATCAATCTAATAAAATGATGTGAGAACTAATATCTGTTTTTGCTTTCATAAAGTGAAAATACATACGTACATGATAGAGGCGTGCTCCTCCTTGCCCTCATGCTTGCTCCTCCCCGCACATTAGGGAGAGGCATGGATAGCGTGGATGTAGGGCAGAAGCGCGGAGGCTGTCTTGGACAATAGCATCGGAAGACACTGGTTGAACAGGTCTGCAGCCAACAACCTGACGAGCAGTGGTGAACAACGCCATTCGAGGTCGAGGTCATGCAAGGTGCGTTGTTCCTCCAGGACGAGATCTGGAGAGCCCTATTGCTTGCGTGATAAGGAGGAATACATCCCGAGTTCACGACGGGCAAGCCTCTGATTGCTCCCAATTTCTGCGATCGGATCCTCTGTGCTCATCTTCTGATCTGCTCTTCCCCCAACACGGAAAGACCAGATCGACTAAATGAATCCATCAAGAATATGGGATGCACAAGAGAAACAAACCTGTAGAGGATGGGCAGAATATTGCTGGTGAGATCCTCCGACTGGATGATATGGACATACTTGTAGGAAGTAGCGCCCAATGCCACCGTCGCCATGATCTCTTTTTTGGTGCGTTTGAGTATAGAAAGAATGGTAGCGATCCGGGCGGCTCAACTTCTGCAGAGATGTGCTTCGCGGCTCACTCCGGCCCATGGATGCCAGTTCCCATCGCCTCCCCCTCCCTCGTTCTCTCTGGTGAAGACCGAACCGGCGGCGATCCATGCCGAGATTGGGAGGGGTGGGGGCATGCGGCTAGGTGGGAGTGGGATGCGGGAAGGGAATGGGGCAGGGCTTGGAGGTGGATACAGAGCCGTATCGCGACCGTCCGCTCAGCATCGGACGTCAACCCACAGCAATGATCGAGAGACCACCGATTTGGCTTCTGGAATAGCGGCCACGGACATACGGCCCAAGATTACGGCCCCCGCGGGGGCAATGCAGTAGTGCATCAGACGGCCATGAATGACCCAGAGCCGAGATCCGATGGTTGAAATGCCTAATAGCCTGAGATTGCTCGGAAAGAGTTCGGTTATACGGTCCTTAATAATGTACTCCTCTTTCAAAGCATCACTGCAATTGAGCACATACTGATAAGCCGCAAATCATTATGTCTCGGCATGCCTTCTCAAGATCATACCTGTCGTACTTGAGTTATCCGACTCCAAAAAGGAGTCATCAACACGATTTGAGACATCGACACAACCGGGTATGATGAATATTTTTTGTATGGGTATTCTATGTAGTATGTAGCATGACGATATAAAAAATATGTATTATACGATGATTCATGAGCTTAACTCGTACATGCCCTAAATGTTTGAAAGATTTCAAACTACTCGCTAGTGTTTTTCCCCGCTAGGTTGACGTTCAGTGGTCCTTCCCTCCTTTTTCTTTCTTTCTGTCCTTCTACCTTCTCGCACTTCTTCCTCAAGCATGCATTTCAAGCTGGCGTGAGGTGAACGTCATAATCTGTATTTTTATCAAACAATAATTTTGTTTTCATAGGTCGTAAGAGCATGTCCAATGCACGCTCTAGTGAAGAGGCGTCAGGATGGACATCCTGTTTGATTGGCAGTTGGGACATTGATTCCTGCCCGATTCCTGGCGCCAGGTGTGGCTCGACGCAATAAAAAGCATCGAGCGCCTGGGCCTTTCTTGCCATGCGGGATGAAGCGATCGAGGTTATTAGCGCATGTACCATAGCATTTAGCGTTGCAACATGTATAAGAGTCTTGGATGTTATCTTCTATTTTACATTTTTTTTTCAATTTCCCTAAGCGCATGTATAAGAGTCTTGCATTGAAGAAGCCCTAATCCTCCTTTTAAACTTACAATTTTAAAACTTCAATTAGAGTAATGTGGTACATTTTCTTTGGTATAGTAGAGTAGTACATGGTATTGTTTTCCTTTTGGGCATGGTGTGCTAGTACAGGTACAAACTTTTCGATGTCTACAGCTCTGGCCAAAAATCAACGGTAGCGAAAATTCCTTGCTCGCATCGAACTCTCCGCCCGACCTGACCCCCACCCATCTCCCATGGCTGCGGCGGCGGCGGCGGCGGCGGTGACGGCCACCCGCCTCCACCCTCCTTTCGTCCTCCACTCCGCCGCACGGCCCCAGCCCCCGCTCCGCCTCCGCCTCCTCCTCCCCACCCCACCGCCGCTCCGCCTCCGACACCGCTTCCCGCTCCTCGCCGTCGCCTCCGCCTCCGCCGGCGAAGGCCGCGCGGAGGAGGCCGCTGAGAAGAGCGACAAGGCCCGGCAGCTGCAGCGGAGGGTCCTCGTGGGCATCGCCATCGGGGTCGGCGCGGGCGGCGTCGTGGTCGCCGGCGGCTGGGTGTTCACCGCCGCCATGACCGCCGTCGTCCTCGCCGGTGCCCGCGAGTACTTCGGGCTCGTCCGTGGCACCGCCAGTGGCGGCGGCACCCCTCCGCCGCGCTACGTGTCCCGCGTCTGCTCCGCCATCTGCGCTCTCATGCCCATCCTTACGCTGTAAGGGAGCCCCGCATTTGTTGTCTGCTCTGCTCTAGTGTCAGAATAAGCTAGAACTTCGCTGTGGCCACTGTAATTTATGTGGTATTTAGTCACAATTTTCGGTATAAATGGGCTAGCTATGCTCACGTCGTTGTGGTCAACTGAGTCACAGTGCGAGCATAAAATTGCTTTGGCTCACTCACTCTTTAATTTTGTTGGGAATTCTTGAGATAGAGGCAAGAAGGTACAGTAGGAATTAGCTCAAATGTCGGCATTGAAACTTTGCAACCTGTAAGTTGTAGCTTTAGCTTGATGCAATTACTTACCATTTTCATCATGGGGTCATTAGACACGATGCGAATCAGGTCTCACGGATTACCATCTGATCACTCAATTTATTGAGTTGGAAGAACTTTAAGTATCGGTGCATTTTCGTATACTTTCGAGGTATCTGCTTACAGATGTTGCTTGATTGCTTCAGCTCCTGAACTTCGTAGCATTTTTTACTAGATCAGAGCTTCGTAACATTTTTTTAGATGATCATAATTTACGCTATATGTTTTTCTTTGTGTGCGCATGTAATGTGGGTGGGGAGGGGTTGCTTAAGAATGAAGGATTGCTACATTTGGTTGTCAGTTCCTGTTAATATGACTACAGCTTCGAGTTCTGATGTTTCTCCTGTATATTTGCGTAGGTGCTATGGCCGCATGGATGTTCCCCTGACGTTATCGGCATTTATTATTGCAATATCTTTGGTATTGCAAAGAGGAAACCCCCGTTTCGCTCAGCTAACTAGTTCAGTTTTTGGTTTATTTTATTGTGGCTATCTTCCTTCTTTCTGGGTTAAGCTCCGTTGCGGACTAGCAGCTCCTGCCTTAAATACAAGTATGTCGATCAAATTCTCTTTGTACTTCTCTGCTTACTTCTTTGCTTGTCACCTTTCTCTACCGATTCATCTTTCTGTTTGATTTGCAGTATTGGTAGAGACAGTTTGTTTATAAGAGATTAATTTTATGTATAGTTTTAATTGATTTAAGGGTTCATAAGAAAGTGCATTTTTTAAGTGCTTACCAGTTACCAGTGCAACTAATTATGATGTTTTTCTGTTCTTGGTGAGTTAATATATTATTGTTATATGTTAAAAGTTATAACCAGTGTTCTTTGACAGGTATAGCACATAACTGGCCAATACTTCTTGGTGGGCAAGCTCACTGGACAGTTGGACTTGTCGCAACCTTGATATCTATTACTAGCATTATTGCTGCCGATACATCAGCTTTCCTATGTGGAAGGGTATGCTCTTTCCTAATTCTCTTCTATTTTGATTGACCCCATTTGACTTTGTTATGTTATTGTAAAACATGGGCTTTTTTAGTTTGTTTTAATTTATCTGGAAACAACTTGCCTATAGTTCTGTGGGTCACTATAATTTTTTTACTCGTTTTGAACAATATAGTGTACATCAAGAGACTTCTACTGAAGCCTGTCAGAAGTTAGGAGCTATCCAGCTTATGGTGTAACTACTGTTGGGCAACTTGTTAAGATTGCCATTGATGTGACACAACCACACTGATAAAAAGAAGTGTGTCAGATCACAGATGAACTTCTAGTTTATTGTTTTTCCCTGCCAAAGTAACTACTATAAATTTGTAGACACGCATACGATTGCCCTGCCATGTATGTTTGTTGAATGAAAAGCATTCAACTTGTCTGAATTTTTGCAGACAAGTGATTTATTTGGACAGTCGTGTATTTGAAAGGAAGTAAATCATGTCATCGTGTTATCCATTTTCCGTTTCAGGCATTTGGCCGTACTCCTTTGACTAACATAAGCCCTAAGAAGACCCTGGAAGGTGCTTTAGCCGGTCTGACTGGCTGTGTGCTTACCACTGTGCTTTTGTCGACTCTCTTTCGCTGGCCAAGATCGCTGTTGAGGTATTGCTAACTTCTGACACCTTTCTATTGTTATTGTCCTAGTTCCGAAACATTATTTTTCTTTACTGAGTTCTTGAAATTTGGTTACTTGAATGCAATAAACCATCAGATTTTAGATTTTAGGGTGAACAAAATTGTACCAACATAACGCATTAGTTTTCAATATATCAACAAGAAATACACAACTGCCAGGATTTTTTCTAATAACTCCATGGGAACTCATGACTCATTACATGTTATCTTGTTGCAAAGGAATATATGCCTCTCAATAAAGTTTAGATGGAAAAACTGATATTGATATGGATTTCCAACAATTAGAGTTTCTCAAAAAGTCAGTTTTGGTATCTGCCAGGAGTAGGGGCAGTGGTCTTTTCTTTATATTTTTGTAACTCTATCTGCACAGTATTAACTTACTTCAAATATTTAACAAGGCTGTTCCTACCGTCCTTCAGAACTCAAATTAACAAAGATTATATATGGTTATACCCTATTAGCCTAAAAAAGGATGTTGACCCGACATACATGTGATAGCATTTATCTCTTTGTTGAGTTTACATCCGCATATAGATTCTGCACTTGTATCTTGAATGACATATATTTGCATAGAACTTTGCTTCCCTGCCTAATTATTTAATTGATTGATATCAGTGCTACTGCTTATGGGATCCTGATCTTTCTGGGTTCATTATTCGGGGATCTCATTGAATCTCTTATTAAGCGTGATGCTGGTGTGAAGGACTCCGGGTCGCTCATTCCTGGCCATGGTAAACATTGTTAGCTCTGTTCTTGTTATATATTCATCTACTGCTCGGATTCATGTGTCGAGACGTGAGACCATCTTAGAGTTGGGCTCATAATCTCATGTTTTGTCATGTCAATTTTTCTGCAGCATTACTCCATGCAATTTTAGTTATTTCATTCGTACTTTGGTATCAACCTTTTTTTAATAACAGTTACTACCATACTTTCCAAAGTTAGACATCTTGTTTCCATCGTTTTTGTCCTTGTACGTGAAGGGGGCGTGATTTATTTACATTCCGAGTCTCACATCTTATACTTCATCGCATCATTGCTTTTTGGCGAACATAACACAAAGCTGCAATGCAGGTGGTATTCTTGACCGGGTCGACAGCTATGTCTTCACAGGGGCGCTTTGTTACTCCTTCGTCCGAGTAGCTCTACCCCTGTATGGAGTCTGATTTACCGCAGCGAGAAAAATCGGTCTCCTTGTACCTTCGACGACATTGTCACCCAACGTAACGGCGTGTTGGGGCCTTGATGAGATGGCCAGGATCAGCTCCCTTGGCTGCACAATATGAGAATTCGGTGGCTGGCTGTAAAGTGGGATAAGACCATAGGATGTGGCTGCTAACTAAGCGGTGTTTCTTCTTCATACGGGATTGAGCTGTTTCTTCTTCAGCGCCAAAATGGTGAAAACTTGTCACTTTGGTGTACATAGTTTTTTCTTTCATTTTTGTAGAGTAAAAAGGGAACGCGGGTGATTGACCACAAGCTACTACATATCTTAAGAAGTGTATTAAGGTTGTTTATGGGATCCTGGTACTTGTTGATCCCCAAACTTTTTTGCATGCCCCCCCACAGGGTCTCTTTGGCAAATACTACCTGAGTGACAGAGTGAGTGTATATTGAGATTGACATTTTAATCTTTAGCCTTTAGGCACATGGAAATGAATTTGCAAGCAATAGTGCAAGCAACAGCTCAATGACGGGGCCTTGATGAGATGGAACAAAGTATTTGTACAAGCAACAGCTCAATTCCCATTGTAAGATGGAAGTGTCAGAAGTGTGTCATCGTATTTACTCGAAACAAACAACATCTCAATTCACCAAACAAAATTGATCTAAGGTATAAATGACAAGGGAGATCTCCAAAAACAAGATATGTCGAGGGCAGCACGGTGAGAGCTAAACACAACGGGATCTCCCATTCCCTCGTACTAGCCCTAAGAAATGGATAATAATCACCAGTCTTTTATCGTGCCATCTGTTGGTCACTTGTCAGTCATTCTGTGGTGAGAGAGGAAGTCCCCGTCGCGAGCTTTCCCAACAACGGACCGATCATTTTGAGAGCCAGTAGATGATCAAAAAGATGGTGCAGGCCGCGATTACTGCTGAAAGGATGATCGTGTCCTTTGATTTCTTCCTCTTGATGGCGCCTGCAAACAAGAATGTGTTCAATAGTTAAGAGTGTTGGCATTGGATAAATAACACCGAGGATATATGATGTCCGCGGAAAGACTAATGTCCAATGTAAGAACTGGGGATCGATAGATTACCAAGGAGGCCTCGGACCACAGGGAATTTTTCACCCAACTGCTTGACTTTCCCCTGAACATCTCCAAACAAGGCCCTCTGATTGGATAGGGCTGCTCTTGTGCTTTGAGCTTGCCCAATTACCTCGTCTATCTGGAATTTGGGTAAAAAAAGAGGGACTTAGTGCCTCATGAGCTAGAGTTCATCACAAAGACACAAACACATATTGACAGTGACAAAGTTTCGCTGCACGAAAGTAGACTTGTTTTCTCTCTTCTCCACTCAAATCATCGTTCAATGTTCACACTGTTAGTACAGAAAACATGGTTGCAAGTGTTCCTAACACCCTGTTCTTCCTATTGCTGTATCCTTCCTAACACACTGCCCCAAGTTGCACATCACATTGGATACCACTCGCAGATGTTAATGATTTTGTGCATTAGATCAGAGAATGCAGAATGGACAAGAACTAATGATGAACATCACAAGTCTAAATGGGGATCCTTCTACTTCTAGTGCAAGTGTGTGATGCTAAGCAACTGGCATGTAATTGAACAGAATTATAGATATCCTTTTGGTCTAACTCAACTACTGGAACCATACCTGGTTGACGCTGCCGTGAATGGAAGCCCTCTCCCGGAGCAAATGTACCCTCGGCGACATGCCGCCGGTAGCCTGGAGAGAAAATTCCCGGCGATCAGACTGTGATGGCACGACAGGTAAACAGGGGCATACGCTCTGCAACAACACATTGATGAGAAGCGGAGAGCCGAAGAGAGGCGACACGAAACCTTGGACTCGGTGATGTCGCCGCGCACGGAGCTGAGCAGGTCGGCGTGCTCCCTCATGGAGCTCAGGTTCCCCCGCGTCCTCCTGAACTCCTGTTCCGATCGATCGGATCGGATCAGGCAACCAACCAACCATTTCAGCGAGGGGAGCAGCGGGGCACAGAGGAGAGGCGGCGGGGGAGGGGGAGGGGGACCTGCGTGAACTCGTGCAGGATGTCGCGGTGGCGCGCGAGCTTCTGGGAGACGGAAGCGGTGGCGGGGGCGGCGGGCGCGGCGCAGCGGCTCATGGCGTCGTTGACGTCCTGCAGCTTGTCGAGCAGCGCCTGGATCTCGAGCTCCGTGGACTTCCAGGAGGAGCGGTCGGCGGTGGGGGAGGCCGCCGAGGCCGAGGCCGAGGCGGAGGCGGAGGAGGAGCGCGCGGCGAGGCGCGCGTACGAGGAGAGCTTCACGTCCAGGTCCCCCTCCAGCTTCCGCGCCTCCCGCCGCAGCTCCTCCCACCCGGACTCCTGCAGCTCCAGCGCCGCCGCCGCCGCGGCGTCGTCCGACGGGCCCACGCCGTGCATCATCGCCGTCGCCCGCCTCCGCCGCCGCGCCCGATCCGGTTCCGGTGCCCCCTGCTCGCGTGATCTGATGAGGGGGGGCTGGAGTGGGAGGAGGATTTGGGTTTGCAACGACGCGGAGGTTGGGAGGGGAGAAGGGTTACGTGGAGAGCGGAGACCGGGCGCTTGGCGAATCTGGCTTGTTTTTTTCAGAGAAATATTCATCACTGATCTTGTTGCGGTATTCACTTTTTTTTTTTGCATATATTCACTTTGCTCACCGCCCTTCAAAATACCCTAAATACGGTATGGAAGAGTACGGTCACTTATATACGGTTTTTATACGGTTGTCTACGCAAGTGACAGCTGGAAGTGGCGCATCTTGTGCTGGGTTTGTGGTTGGAGGTTTTTTTTTCCGAGAGTACGCCAATGGCGTACCTTAACTTTATAGAAGAGAGGTTGGAGGCTGACAGTTCTGGTTTCCTCCTCCGACGTCATAGTCGTGCGGGGGACGTCAGTTCTGGAGTTTGATGGCGTGTCCGGGGACAAGTTGCTCGGTCTAATTCTTTCAATGGCAATGGTTTTGTTTTAGGCAAACTACTTTCGAGGTCCGTAAAACTGTTGATCAGCGATGGAGCCGCGTCGAGCTCGGGTGAAGAGATGACATGTCTCCTTTTCCTTAGTGGAGAGGGACACGCGCTGATTTTTGCATAGGATTATCCTATCTTTCCAGTCCTGTAATGTCGATATTTACATGGCTTGTAACTGAATTTTTATTTTATTAATAAGACACGTATTACCATGCAAATAAACTACATGTGGGCTTGGTCCATTGGGACAGTGTGGCTTTGACCGTCCAATATGTTTATGGCTCTTAATATGCATGAGTCACAAGGGGGTCTTTGCAAATATGCCATAGATCAAAAGCACACACCGATTCCGTCGAACCAAACCAGCTCCCCCTCACCCTACCTGACTAGCTCCCGCCTCGCTCCTGTCACCAAATCCCTAGTTCCCAAATCCTTGTCGCTGCATAACACTATGTATGATTCATGTCTAGTTCATATGTTTGCTCTATGAAGTAATGTTGCTCCATAAGTTAAATGTGAGTGTCATTGAAAGGAAAAAAACCCAAGCTTTTTCTTTCCCCTCTCGCAAGGCGATTAGGGAAATCCTTCTTCCCTTCAATCTTCGCCAGCGAGCCCATGGATTCGCCTGCCCTCCGCTTGCCGCTCCGGTGGCCGGTGGCAGGGAGGGTATTCCTTGTGCCACGGGTTAGATAGGTAGGGTTTTGGTTCTCGCAAGGGCAGCGCTCGTACAGATGGTGACGCTTCTTCTTCGAGTCAGCCTTCCGGGCTCCTATCATCCTCAAGTTCGCTCGTCGGTACGGGATAGACAAAACTCTGGTGTAGATTCGTGTCGGCTCCTCAGAGTGGCGAGGTTAGGGTTTCTCGTCGTGCATATGCAACGGCGAGATTTGGTGTCATGTTCTTCAGATCGATTCAAGGATTCAATCACGACGACTGTGGCTCCCGAACGCTGGTCCTTAGGGGCGCGTGCAGGAAGACTTCCCGACTGTCATCGACAAGGTCAGGCCGGCTCCAGTATGGGAGCGGCGACAGCGGTGCGTCGGCGGCTTGTTCTGGCGGCAACAATGGTCGTTCGGTTGTCCATGGACCTCAATGTATTTTTTAAATATTGTGTTTGGGTGCTTTGTACTTCCGGTGAATCATTATAATAGATCTGATATTTTCGCAGAAAAAGTTAAATGCGAGTGCTTATTTGTTATGGTTCTTGCTAGTTTAAAAGTTGTAATTTTTTCTGTTTGCTACATAGTTCATCTATGATTTTTGGGGCTAGAAGCTAAGAGTATGTGGAGCATCTGTTTGTGCTGCTGCTGTGGATGCAATTGGTGCAGAAGAGGACAAAATGGAAGTGTTTGGAAGGAGGCATTGCAGGTAGAGGCACTGTAAGGAGAGGAATTTAGCTACCAAACAGCAGGCTGCTATGCTAGTTGGATTAGCTAGAGAAATTCTGTTCGTGCTGAAGCTGGAGATGGTAAGTGTGATGGTATTGTGAGTTGTGTGTGTTTTTTAATGATGAAGACCTGAAGTGGTGCTAGATGAATTGGTGTTAGGTGAAGTCGTGCATGATCAATTGGTTCTAGATCAAATGGCTTTCTCTTGGTATGGTTGTAATGAATGATTAGTAGCAGCAACTGGTTCTAGAATGATTGCTCAGGTTTAACACCATGATTTTTCAGATGTTTTTTGTGCATGCGGTTAGATCTCTGAGACTTGGGAGAGAACATATAAAAAGAAAGATTTTTTTTTTGTTTGCATAAATCTTCATCATAAATATAACATCTGTTGAGACTCGGTTAAGTCTATTTAGCAATCCCGATTTTTTTATTTTCCTGGCATTTTTTATTATTTTACTATTCATATAGGGTTGAGATCTAGCAATCCCGATTTTTTTTCCTGGTATTTTTATTGTACTATTCGTATAGGGTTCACGGTCATGTTAAGCATGGGGTTGGCAAAGCATAGACACTCTTTACTTAACTCAGACTAAATTATGGCTTTTGCTCAGACATCAAATATCTTTGGTGTTAGGTTGATTTCTATATTGCCAACAAAGCTTTCCAGAAACATTTCCCAAACTTCCGAAAATATAATACGTGTACAGCTATGTCATCATGGCATTCAGCTTCTTCGTCATAACCAGTAGCAACCGGAATAACAATATTTCTCCCTTGGGACTTAAACAGGTCAATGACCATACAAAATTTGCCAAGGCACTCCTTGATGCTTGGAAACCGCGCTCGCCGCCTACAGCACGGCATGTCTCAACGATGATGTGCACCTAAGCGCTTTTCTTTGAGGATTTCTTGTGGATTTTCTTCTGGGGCTTCAACTTATTTGATCCGGACGACGACGATGATTGCTTGTCTTTCCTCCTCTTGTTGTCCTTCTTCACCTTGTACATGGTGATTGCCTGTTATCAAAGTTATTTACAGCACTTGTTAGATGGTGGACTAGACAAATGGAAGTGGCATATATACTGAATTCTGGAGCTTGCCTTGCTGACATCCAACGGTTCCTCGAAGTTCTTGGCCAGTAGACTGTTCAGGATCTTGTCGTTTTGCTGTTTCTCCAGGTTGCCCATTCCTTTCCCTTCAACAACAGGGAGGAACTGCAGAAAAGAAAACAGTTAAGCTAACCAAACTATCAACTTACAAAGGCGCACGGATTTACTAAAGGCAAACAGGTTCATGGGAGAAAAACCTTTCTGTTTTTGCCAGCCTTCTTGAGAGGTTTCTCGCCAGGCAACTTTTTGTCGAACTTCCCACCGCTAGCCGTTGCTGCAGAAGCCATACCAGCGACATTCTCGAGGTCTTCCTTCTTACCTTTTCTTGGCAGATCAGCTTTAGTTCCTGTGATGGGCACGGACGTGGCAGCGAGCTGTATATGACTGCATCATGTTTTTCAGAAAGCTGTTATATGAGAAACTTGAGTTGCTAATGTAATGAATAACACACATAGTGCATCAGGTATACAGATTATAGTAGCTAGTAGGAAAGGATTACCTTGGCAGAGCACCAACTTTTGCAGCATTCTTCAAATTCCCAAGTCTGTTCTTTTCTTGTTTATCGACCCTGCCCTTCTTCTCTTCCCTTCTTTGAGCAAAAGGATCAACACCAGGCTCTGTAGAAATCATATTTGATTAAAAGGGTAACATAATGCAAATAGGTTTGAAGAAACATATAAATTTGAGAAGTAATTACATTGATAATGAAGACTCAAGAAATTCAGTGTCAGTCACAAAATGAGAAAGATCATTGGGAATTATAAAATGATAGATGAACCAAATTATTGTACAAACCAGAAGCATGCAGGCTGTTAAGCATTTATGTCACAGCTCATGATAACTACGATGTGTATTGGGCATGGGGAAAGCTCGAAAAGATTATTAATCTTTCTACAAAACAAGATTCACCAGCCATAGGTAATAGGTTTCAAGACACATATACATTTAAGAACAAATTACATTGACAACAAAGACTCGTTAGATTCAGTTGGTCATATATGAAAAGAGCATTGGAGATTTGAAATAAAAGCTGGATTAAATCAGTGTACATAAGCAGAAGCATGCAGGCTGTTAAGCGTTTGCGTCACTTGTACTCGGCCCAGGGAAAGCTCTAAAAGATTACTAATATTGCTAGTACAAAACAAGATTCACCAGCCATAGACACATAAGACAAAGTTGCTAACCGTCTGTCAATTTGGCTTCAATAATGGGAACGTCCCTGTCATCATTAACACGATCATAGCCATAAGTCCGCTTCCAGGAATTAGTTTGCTCATCCCATGCACGCTTGTTCTTCTTGTGCTTGATAATCCCTGCAAGAATGTTGCTGTTACACAAAGTCCGAAGCAAATACGCTTCCAATAAAAAACACCCAGAAAGCCAGCGAGAATAAGAGGTTCACCTTTCGACTTTGCGAACTGCTCCCACTTGGTAGGAGGCTTTGGCCTTGGTAACTGGTAACATGAAAGATAAAGATTAGACATCTTGCGGTTTGCAAATGCATGCATATTTCAACAAAATAGGTCTCCATCCAGCTCGATATCTTGTTTACCGAGTAGCGCAGAGCAAGAATGAAAAACTAGAATCCAAGCAAAGAATTAACTACAGTAATATGCTAGCTGTAGTTTCATGGCAGTAGGCTACTCTCGCATCTGTAACATCATTTCTTCATATGTTGAAGAAGCAAATTACCACCATAGCCCACAGGGAATTCAACTGCACTACGGCAAGAAAATTCGAAAAATTAAGCAGCCAGCGTTCCACTGAAACCGCACACCAATCTACTCGCAGAATAGCAGTAGCCAGCAGTAACTATTCAAGATCGACATCGTCCGACACTGGCGAGCACCGAGCAGAGATGGTATCAGGGGGGCAGAGAGAGGTAATCTTCTCACGTGCTTCTCGCGGGGCAGGCGGTTGGCGGGCGGCGGGAGGCGGACGAGGGGGCCGTCGCGGCCCTCGGTGGCGGGCAGCGAGAAGAGGGCGTTGGCGACGGCCTGCGCGAGCTCCGTGGCCTTCCGCAGGCACTCGTCCCGCAGCTCCGCCCGGGAGGACGCGGCGGCGGCGGCGGCGGCGAGGTGGTGCGAGGGGTCGTAGGCCATGAGGTGGCCCAGGTCCACCTCGAAGTTGGTGGCGGACGCGGAGGCGGCGGCGGTGGCGGCGGCTTCTTCCGCCATGGCTGCGGCGAGGGTGCGGGGGTGCGGAGCTAGGGTTGGTGCTTTGAGTGGGAACCCCTACGCGACGCGTTCTGCGGCAATTTGTCGCCGAATCGCACTGTCGCGATGGGATGTGGGCCGGCCCACGATGGCATCCGTGTAGCCCTCCACTGCACCAATTTGTTTTTTGATGCAATCTCCTCTGTAGCAAATTTGTTTCCCATTTTTGTGATTTCCTCTGTTTTCCCTTATGTTTCCAGCCACTTTTCCTTTGAAGAACCCATCTACTGATATAGACTGAAAAACATATTATTGGGTGATAAAGATAATTTACTATAAAATGTGAACTCTTTTGTAAAACCATTAATATTTTTAAAAAATGTTTGTTTACATTTATTTATCTTTATGAGTTTTTTTTAATATTATGTACATTTTTTGGTGTATGGCTATTATAGTATACTCCTATGTGTAAACTAAACAAGACAAATATTTGTGCCATGTATGAAACTAGTTCGTCCAAGGTCAAATAAAAGGTAACCGCAAACATGAGGAGTCAAACTGCACTATATTCTGATCCCGGACGAGATATATTCTCTTTGTGGCGCTCATCGTCTTCGACTCTTGCGCCGCGTTGCGGAGTTGGCCCTCTCAGCGGGGATTGTTCATCCCCATCTCACGGTTGTGGAGCCAGGACCGCTTTCCGGCTAGTTCGCGGATCGACGATCTCAGGCGTGGAGTAAAAATCACGAATTGAATTTCAGATTTGAGAATTTCGTGGAGCCAGGCCATGGAGATCTCATCTTCTGGAAGTCAAATGAAGAATCTTTCCTAATTTTTTCCTTCAAAAGTACATAGGGCTTCGGCATCCATCTCTTTTCCTCCTTTGTTTTATCAAAAAATTCCACTATTTTTTCTTGAGAACTGCTTTAACTAGTCCATGACTTATTGAGTTATCAAATAAAAATTGATTTCAAATCAACAAAGTGGTTTAACTATCATTTTTATATATAATAATCACATTGATAATAAAATGACTAGTAAATCAAAGTGAGTACATACAAAACATTTTTTTATGAAACATTTGTGCCTTTGCAATCCATGGTTAGATATCTAGTAGGCACTACGAATATGAGTGGGTATAGGTTGCACTATCGTCTTGCCTCGGAAGCTTTCTCTTTGCTAAGAGCAACTCTAGCAGATACCATAAAATCTCATAAAATCTCGTGTCGTAAAGGGTTTTTAGTGTATGCCCTAAAACATATTTATGATACAGAGCGGGTTTTGGCACAACATGTACTGTAAAAACCGTACGCAAAAACGGTTTTGTACAAATTTTGACTTTCCTATGCATACGAAGCAAACACTATGACTTCAATTTAACATATCTACTAATCAAAGATTTCAAAACTCAACAATAGACAATAGTTTTCAAGTTCTAAGCATTTAAATTTCAATCTCGTCTATAGTTTTCGAGCCAAAAGGAAGACCAAGCATAGAACAAGTGTCAGTCAAATACAACAAAAACCATGACCAAAAGCATAATAGTCGTACAAGACCAACTAGAGTAAAGTACATTAAAGTTTTACAACGAAAATTCAACGATTTTCTTGTGAAAGCCGTGGTGAGTGCAAGGCTATTATAGTCTATGTGCGAAAATGATCTTCTGAGCGCGAGCACAGGTGGTCTCGGTATCCCACCCGCCCGCAGTCCTCGTGATCCACAATCCCAAGCGTATAGGCCCAATTATTATTCCCGTATATGGCGCAATGAACAGTTACGAGGGCCCATGTCTGCCATCGCGGCCTTGCCACGACGTGAGTCACCTGGGCTCTCGCTCAGACGTGCAGGAACGGACTAGGCCGTTATGTTGCCGATTCTGAGACAATGCCCGTTGCTTCCCAATTCCCATTTATTGCTGTGCAGCACCCCATCCAACCTACCAATCTTTCCCATCAAGATTCATTCATCCCCATTCCTTCTCGCCTATTTCCCTACCGGATCGGACCATCGTCTCCAGCTAAGATTGCGGTAGCTTGCACGATGTCCACCTCCGCGTCCAATGGAGTCGACGACGAGATGCTGTCACTCATCCCCTGCCTTGTCTGTGGCGGCCAGGTCATCACCTGGATTGCTCGGGGGTTGGGGCGGCGACAACGTCGGCGACCGCTACCATAAGTGCGCCAGGAAAGATGTGAGTGCTTTCTCTAGTATGATCTAGGATCATATTGCAGCCGTTTCGTAGTTAGCAGCTCCAGATCTGTTTTTTTTTTTTGGGTGCAGGTTGGTCTCTGTGCAGTGGCGTAACTAGGGGGTGTGCCAGGTGTGCCATGGCACACCCAGAATTTGAAAAAACATTTTTTACCATGTAATAATTAACTTATTTTTAAGACTCATCCAAGACAAGGAAAATAGACCTCAATATTCTTGAAGTTTGCACACCCTCCATTTTACTTGTGGGTCCGCCACTGTCTCTGTGGATACATCAGATAGAACCGGACGTACCGTCCTGATCTGAATCGCCATTTCGGTGTGCAGCAGTACCCAGCTCTCTCTCCCCGTCGCCAGGCAACAGGGTTTGGTCGCAGCAGGCAGCCGACGTTGGCGAGGTTCACAACGCCCCGTCGCACATGCAAGACAATGAGCCGACGCTGGCGAGGGGTGCCAATCACTGTCGTTGCTGCTCAGAGATGCAACGGCTAGCTGTTTTACTGGCTAATTGTTGCACTCATTGGGCTGGGGATGCTGCTGCTCGTGCTCGGCCGCCTGGTTGGCTAGAGGCTGTGGTTCAGCTGCATCTTCGAACTGCAGGCTGTTTTTAGCATTAGCGTTGTTTGACGAGTCAAAATTCCATGTCGGGGCATTAATTAAGTTGTGTTCTCCCGTCTGTACTGTCATTTTCTGTGTTAACGAAAACGAAGGATTGTTGGTCTAGTAATGTTTGTTGTTTCAGGTGGTAGTAACCACCAAATGGGTTAACCTCAAAAAAAAGATCAAATGGGTTATCGATCGTTTGTACTCAGGGCCTAATGTAATCAGCAGGAAAATAAATCAGTTTCTTTCCGTTCTGTTTTGCATGCACGCCCAGGATCGCTTGTACACGCGTGTCCACTAGTTTTCGTTCACTGTTAAGTACAGTAGGTACGAGCTCCGGCTTATGTGCATTTTGGTTATTCAGAAATCCAGAATGCACCCCAGATCTCTAGGGAAATTCAGACTTTGTGGTCTACACTGGAAACATTCAGACACTTTCCAATTCCTGAATAATTTCAGAATGCATCAACATATTGCAAAATATTTCAAAATTCTACACATGAGCATAGCGCTGACAAATTCAGAATGCACTCCCATATTTCTAGGAAATTCAAACTTTGTGGTCTGTAGAGTAGAAAAATTCAGATTGCATTCCTGATAACTTCAAATGCATCAACATACCGCAATTTTTTTTTTTACAAATCTACACATGACCATAGCGCCGACAAACTCAGAATGCATCACCAGAGTGTACAAAAATTCAGAAAAATAAAACGCACTCATCGTGCGAATACTAATACGTCGACATTCAGACCAATTCAAGCATACATTATTTCTGATAATCCATATTTGATTCTGCCATGCATAGCAGCAGTCGAACACACTCAGCAAGCATGACACTAGAGGAGTTCTACTGACGGAACTACAGCCGCACACATTAAGTTCTATATATTTCTGTCTTGACAGACAGGGTGCTGCAACTGCTCACATGCCAGTCATCCGCAGATCACCTACTTTGTGGCAGTTGTTTTGCCTGTGACCTTCAATTCCATAACTTTTGCACCTTGCTGGTTTCCGAACAGGCTTCGGGGCATCACCATGGTCCGGGCAAGTAGTCCGTTTGTGGCCCTGCTGGCGACATATGCTGCAGAACCTCGTCCGCTTGCTCAGCCCCTCATACGGTGCCTTCTCCCAGCTGGTTGTTGGGCGCCCCATTTCTTTCCGTTTCTTTGGCGCCAACAAACCAACGTGTCTGTTCCCACTGTCACTCGCAGAATTAGCATCATCATTCACTGTATGCGCCAAACTCATATAGCATATGTCCAAACTATTCAAACATAGCCCGTGTTTACACCTTGCCAGCGAGTCGCTCAATAGCTAAGTTAGCCTTGTACAGCGGTCTACCCTGAAATATAGATACATCAAAGTAGTAACTAGGTTACTACTAGACATCCAGTGGCAATTATCAAATATGACTTACTATTCATGTCCGTTTCTCCTCATAGTTCTCCTCTGCTTCCCTGTCAAATTGAAGTCTCATGTATTTCTTCACAAACATATGCATCGGACAATCAGGTGGAACATAGTTCTTCACGATGTGGTTTGCACTTTCGCTGCGCCGGGTGTTGGTCATCTTAGCACAGAAAACACCTTTAATATATGGCTTTGCCCACTTGTGTCTTATTTCATAGAGTTGCGTCATGTAATCGTGCATCTTCAAATTATATTTCTTCACCAATATCTTCCAAGCTTCCTCAAATTCATCGATCGTGAGCATGTGATTCACTACCTTGTGGAACTTTGCCCTGAACTTGCTCTTCTTGGTGTACAATGAATCGAGAGATTCGTTCGCCTTTTTCAGCACGTGCCACTTGCACCATCTGTGCACCGTCTGAGGCATAACACTTTTTATGGCGACCTCCATCGCCCGGTTTTGATCTGCACAACAACAGAAATAATGTTAACCATGCTTTTGAAAGATCATTATTAACGGTTATCACATACAGTTTATATAATATATGGGTTCACA